GTCTTACTAGACCAATTAAATTAGACTCACTGGGGATTAGGACTGGAGCATTGGTATATTTTAAATAATAACCTGCAACAAGGGTTGAGAACCACTGACTAATTCAGTTTCCTCATTTTACATTGGACGTCCAGAGCAGTAGACATCTGGCCCAAGTGAGAGAGCCGTTTGCTAGGATTTTAACCTCAGTTTTCTCCTCTCATCTTCTTGCCTCCCTCACTCTATATATTCCTCGTTTGATCTCATCCCTGTCCTGCTTTAAATTAACCAGTATGCTCATGACTCCCACATCTGTCTTCTGAGTACCACACGCTCATATCTAACTTCCTTCCTATTATCTCTCCAAATGGATCACAGCCACTTCAAATGCATTATATTCAAAACTGAATTCCCCTTCTCTCCCCTCAAGTCCCCAAACCCTGCTTCTCTGTCTAGATTCTGACATCAGTGAGGGGTACTTCCCTCCCCCACTTATCTGAGCCAGAAGTCTTGGGGTCTTCCTCTCTTCCCTGTCTTGTACTCCTATCAGCTGCCAATGTGCTCCCCCACTCTTCAGGCCTTACTGTTTGTTACTTCCTCGAGAAAACCTCCAGCCCCAGGTCAGGACGTGGTCCCCTCCCCAGTCATCCTCTGTCTCCCCTTCCTCTACCCTGACTCAACGCACTGCATGGTGGTGCCTGAGGCAGTGCCTGTCGTGCAGGGGGAGTGTGTTAGTCCATTTATAACAGAATACCTGAGACTAGGTAATTTACAAGAAAACACAACTTATTTTGTATAGTTTTGGAGGCTGGAAGTCCACAGCCCCAGGAACACATCTGGCGAGGACCTTCTTCAGGCGGGTACTCTCTCCAGGGTCTCGCAGAGACGCAAGCCATCACATAGCTATGATGGCAAAAGCTTTCTCATGTGCTCCTTATGAAGCCACCAGTCCATACCTATGACAACCCATTACTTCCTAAATGGGTTATTCATTGATGAGGGTGCAGTCCTCACAATCCAATCACCTCTCCAAGGCTCCACCTTTCAAATATCATAGTCTCAACACTGTTACAACAGATATCAAGTTTCCAACACATCAACCCTTGGGGGACACACTTGACCCTTGGCAGGGAGGTTCATCAGCTGCACTGTGGTCCTAGGCACCAGCAACGAGAACTCCGGGGGCACCTTAAGATTCCAGGCAAGAGTCCAGGGAGTCCAGAGGAGGGGCCGTGTGCTCCACCCTGGGCCCAAAGCAAGACAAAGATAACAGTAGGAACTGCCACAGCCCTGGGGCAAAGGACGACTGGACACAAGTTGGCTTGAATGTACTTTTACTGTACGCCCGGTGCCTCCCTGCAGGAAGACTTCCTGCTCAGCAGCTCAGCCCTGGCCAGACTGCAGCCACAGGTTGAGAAATGAGAAGCTGACTTTCATTAATATCCCCAGACTCAAGCCAGACTGAACACTGTCCCAGCCTCCCCAGCACAGGAGGGACAGCACAGACGGGAGCCGAGCTCAGAGCCTGGGCCGGCGCGGCTGCCCCTGCGGGTCCCACAGACTGATGAGGCGGTCAGCCTCCCTCCAGCCGGACAGCAGCGCCCCGTGCGTCGTGGAGTAAAATGTCCGATGTGTGGCTTCCCCTGCAAACAGTACCTGGAGCTGCAAAGAAGGGCCAGGTTAGCATGGGGGTGCGATTTAGATGGCTGGCAGAGTCCTGGCAGAGAAACACACAGAAAACAGAGCCCCACGCCCTCACTGACCCACGGACTCACACTCACACACACACCCCTACAACGGGCAGGAAAAGGAACCACTGCAGATGTAGCTCAGGTGTGAGTAATGTTTAGAGAAAACAAGATCACACAAACAAGATCACTGAACAGGGGCCTTACCAAAATTACAGGATCACACATGGGGAGGGTGAGGAAGGGATCTGAGAGTCCAGCTGGGCAGAGGAGTGGAAGGAAGTTAAATCGGTGTGGGCCGCAGTGAGAAGTTAGTCAACAGTTCCCAACACCAACAACTCAGGAAGTAACGTTACCAAACAGGCAGACCAAAAAGAGGTAAGACGACCAGAAAACTGAACACTATATTGGGTGATATTGAGGAATTATTGTTAATTTTTAGCTGTGACAATAGTATTATAGTTATGTATTTTAAAAGGTTGTTTTCATCTTTTAGAGATACACCCCGAAATATCTTCTGGTGAAATGATGTCACATGTGGGATGTGCTTAATAACAACAGGGAGCCTGGATGTGGACTGACAGCTGGTGGAGCTGGGGGCACTGAAGGGTTCTACCTACTTTTGTATACATTTGAAGTTTCTCATAATAAAATGCTTTTCAAAAAGTGATAGCATAAACATGTGTTTTAGAGATATGATAAGTTTGGAAGTTGGAACCAGCTACAACAGTCTGGGAAGGGGAAAGCAGGTGACCCTCACCCCTATTTCTGTTTTATTTTGTTAGCCAGCACTGTAGAATTCTCTGCCTCATTAAGCTATGTGTCTGTGTAATTCTCATAAAAACAATGCATTTAAAAATCACTCTCAATTTCAAAAAGAAAATGGCTTCTGAGTCTCAGGGGGGTCCTAGACCCACCCACTACTTGCCCACACTCCAGCAGCTCTCAGCCTTTACAGGGGCCTCTGCAGCAGACCCCAATGGCCCCCATGCCTAGGGCATGCCATCTTACCTGGGCACCGGCGCCATCCGCAGGGAGGGGCTGAGCCAGCAGGTCCACATCGTCCCCGGTGCTGCCCACAGCCACATAGCTGTAGGAGCCCCTGGTGTATGGAGCGCTGTGCCAGCGAGACCTCAGCACACTCTTGGGTGCGGGGAGCTGTGGGTTTCCTGAACCACAGAGATGCAGCACGTTAACCCAGGACTCTCACCTTCATGTCTGCAACTAGTTCTTCATTTTAAAGAGTGAGCAGTTTTGGGCCGAGCCCGTGGCACACTCGGGAGAGTGCAGCACCGAGGGTTCGGATCCTATATAGGAATGGCCGGTGCGCTCACAGCACTCACTGGCTGAGCGCGGTGCGGCCGGTCTCAAAAAGGACAAAAAATAATAATAATTAAAAAAATAAATAAATAAAGAGTGAGCAGTTTAAAATGAAAGACATTACCCAGGAAGGAAACCAAGCCACAGCGTGTACTCCTGAGAGGCCCTTTCTGTCTTAGCTCGACAGGCATTAAACTCCGGATAGCTGTGACAGAGCAACTGTGCTGCGTCTGAGCCTCAGCTTCTTCATCTGATTAAGGATAATTGCACTTATTTGGGTGGCAGATTTTAGAAAAACTAAGTGGAAAGCATCTGCTAAGTCATTTCAGCTCCTGGGAGGTAAGAACTATTCCTGACTCCACTGATATGAGGAAGGACTGTCCCTGGAGATGTACAGAGCCCAACTTAGTTCTTCTCTGTGGTGAAAAGTTGAGTTCCTTTAGAGATCAGCCAGCACGAGGCAGTGGCTTTGCCGTGCGTGGTCAGTACCTGTCGCTCTCCGGAGCACGTGAGTCAGAGACAGAAGCACTTCTTCATCCGACAGAGTCTCCATAAACTCAGACTCAAGCCCAGCAATGAAGCCGCAGAGGACGTGCACAGACCTGCGTGGAGAGGAAGACCATGGAGCCCAGCTAGCTACATCCAGCCCAGCTCTCCGCCCGTCTCCCCGCAAGGACACAGCAACCGTGCTGGGAGCCCCCCACCCCACCCCACCCCACCCCTCACAGAGTGGCCCATCGTGGGCCCTCCTCAGGGCAGCGGTTCTCAGAGTGTGGGCCATGAACTCCTGGGGGTCCCGGACCATGTGAGATCAGAACTATTTCCACAGCACTGAGATGGCACCTGCTGTTGGCACTAGGTCAATGTTTGTGTGGCACGCCGGTGCTACATGAGGAACCGTCGCCTGGCAGAGCATGGGCTGCAGCGGCACCAGCACGCACAGGGAGAAGTGCCAGTGCCACTCAAGCAGTGAGAGTCACTAACTTCATTAAATCTTGACCCTTGAGCACAGTCTTTTCAATAACCGTGTGAAGAGAGGAAACAGCACGCAGCTGTTGGGGAGGACGCCCGCGGCCACAGAGCGGCCACCTGAACTGGCACAAAACCCAGCCAGCACCACTGTACTCCAAAGAACAACTGACAGATGAACCACAGTATTCAGGCTGGGGTGCTTGGCCAAAATTTTCTTGACAATAAGCCAAGTGTGTCTGTCACAGGAAAACAACTAGCAAGCACTATTTACTGACAATGATAAAATGTAAGCTCTCAAGCAAAAATTAGAATTTCAGAAAACGTGTCTCTGCCATCAACAGCTTTCCCAATTCTGAAAGACTTCTGAGATCAGTGGTGATATTAACAAACTTAATTTTTCGATATTGTATGCTGAAATGTGTCAACTTTTCGAACACTGCATGAACCCATGTTTTCTATAATTTTTTTTGGATGGGTGGCAGCTGGCAGGTACAGGGATCCAACCCTGGATCTTAGTGTTATCAGCACCACCTCTATCCAACTGAACTAACCGGCCACCCCAATATTCTCTGAATGACCAAAATCATGGGTAGGTAAAAGATCCATTCAAAGTGCAAGACAGACAAATGGATTTCAGTATAACAGAGTATAAAAAGTCATTGATATAGTCTCAGATTCCACATTTGGCCAACCTTTAAGGAACTGACACTTCTCGAGTTTCAGTGCAATATCAAAGAATATCCACAAACACCTGAAAAACTATTTAAATATTACTCCCTTCTTCCAACTACATATCTGTGCAGATCCAGACTTTCTTCATATTCTGCAACCAGAATAAAACATCATGACGAATAAATGCAGAAACAGCTCTGAGAATCCAGCTGTCTCCTATGAAGACACATATTAGAGAGATTTGCAGAAAAGACAAAACTGCCACCTCTCTCATTAAATTTTGAGTATATTTTTCATTTAAAAAAAAATGTTACTGGGCCGGCCCGGTGGCGCACTGCTACAGTGCGCCGCTTGGGAGCGTGGTGGCGCTCCCGCTGAGGGTTCGGATCCCACATACAGACCGGTTCCCGCTCACTGGCTGAGCGAGGTGCGGGCACAACACCAAGGGTTGCGATCCCGTTGCCGGTCCCGGTCCGGTACGGGTGCGACACTGAGGGTTGCGATCCGTTGCCAGACACGAAAAAAGACAAAAAGGAAAAAAAAAAAAGTTATTTAGGCTGACATGAATAGGTATATTACTGTCATCTTAAATAATAAACATCTTTAATTTCTCAGTTTTAATTTCTCATGTGAAAATGCACAGACATAACCCACACAAACAAAAGCTCTTTGAGCTCCTAAATCATTTTTAGGAGGATAAAAGGGATCCTGAGATCACACAGTCTGAGTGCCACTGCCCCAAGCCACAGGCAGCATCCCTCGGGACCCACTATCCCCATCGACATCCTAAGCAGTGCAGCACAGGCTAAAGAGCCGGCCTGAGCAGGTGACCCAGCACATGTCCCTCTGCCCGCCCACGACCAGGCCATTTTCAAAGTCCTGTGTAAGTTTCTCTCTCCTGTGCCAATACAAGGAGGCAGACAGGCTTCTCTCCGTCACAGGCTGGAGGGCCATTCTGAGGCCCGAGCCTCCTGCTCCAGCGGGTGGCCACAGGGAGCTTCTGGGCAGGTGTCCCTCTGCTTCCCGAGTCTCTTGGGCTAAGAACTTGGTCCCTTCTCCTGCCACGGCTCTGAGTGGAACGTGGAATTACATCTGCTATCTGACTACCATCCACCAACTTTATGTTTTAATCTTGTGGGAAAAATCAGTCCCCTCCATCCTAGATCATGCCCAGTATTGTTTTCTGAACTGGCACCTAAATCCCTGTGTGCTATTTTGTAGGACGCCTGGCCGTGCGACTCCTCCCTTCATGTGTGGCTCTACGATTCCACAATTTATAAGAATGTTTTGTTCAGTCATTGAAGCCTGTTTAAGAATTGTCTCCCCAGGTACAGAGAGATCCATATTTCAAATTTCTTCTGTATCTACAAGCCCCAGCTTCCTACAGAACTCTATTAAATACTTTTTCACTGATTGATTGAACATGCCTTCAAGTTTGGACCCTAAGAGATGCTGACAACCTGCACAGAGCAGGTGTCCATCTGCCCCTGCAGGGGGCTGGGCTCAGGATGTCTGTAGCCAGTGTCTGGGGGGGGCTATGGGGTCCCCACCCATTAAACTAACACACTGCCAGACCCTCAGTCAAACCAGGACCTGACAAGTCAGTCCTCTCGGAGCTCACCCTGAGGTTTCCTTGGGCCACTTGGGATGCATACATACTCAAAGGCAGGCAGGACCAAAAAGCCAATGAGCTTCCTGAACCAGCTGTCCTGCAGCACCGGGGTGACATCCTCCAGGGGTGACGTGTCCTCCCACACCAGCTGGATGAACTGGCAGTCCGGCTCCCAGAAGGGCTCCTCAAACTCCAGGAAGATTTTATTGTTGGTCCCAAAGCCTATTTTCCTGATTGCTTCTGCCTTCTCAGTGGGCAGTGGTGGCTCAAAGAAGGTGTCCCAATGTTCTTTAAGAAAACCTGGAAATCAAAATCAGATTCAGCTTACACAACACAAACCTCTTAAACTAGAATCGACAGCCAACGGGTACCAGCTCTGATTCCACCAGAGGAGTCAGAAAGCTGCACCCGGCTCTGGCCATCGGCACCACAACCGAGGGACACAAAAGGCCCAGTGGTCACCACTCGTCATGCAGGGACAGTTGGCATCACCCCACACAAACTGCTCTGGAGGGACAGCCCATTCCTGAGCCTTCTGCCTCTCGACCTCTGTGAGCCACGCTGGCCGGGAATTAATTTGGAGTAGTGGGTAAAAATACAGGCTTTATCCAGAAGCTACAGAAAAATTAATCTGCATGGCAAAAATAAATAAATTTAGCCCAAAGGCAGATGACAATAGGATGAGCAGCGCACAGCAGCAAACTCAGACAGCAGGATGAAGTATCTGCAGCACAACCATGAGCCAATTTCCTTCAGATACTTGCAAGTCAGGAAAAACAAGAGGAACCAGCTGACAGCAAAGGTCATCCACAGGCAGGAAGCAGGGGGGCTGGCACCCCAACATGCTGCAGCTGCAGGGATGCACAACACGATCACCCTGCCTCCAAGGCAGCCCCTGTCTGCCCAGATCTTCAACCACCAACTCCCACTGCTGGAACTTACTCTACAGCAATGTTGACACAGCGTTTCTAAATGCACATGTAAAACATGTGTGAAATAGAAAAAAGCCACCTAAATTTCCAGCAATATTTATGAAACAATGACATCTACACACAATAAAATACTATGTGACTGTAAAGAGCTAATGTGACACGTGACCTGGCTCCTTGTGACACAGTTACAACAATGTATCCCCAGTGATTAGCACTCAGCAGGCTGAGTATGCCCAGCAAATACAAAGGAACAAAGCCACTGCTGTTAAGAAACAACAACAACAAAAAGTGAAAAAAAGTTTTAAGAAAAGGTAAAAACGAGGCAAACTGAGCAGCAGGTGTTACTATGTCTGATATGATTCCATTTGTGGGAAGCAGGAGCAGGGCGCAGAGCTCAACCATACCTGCACCTGCTGAAAGGACACACAGTAGTCACAGCAGTCACTGCAGCCACGGAGCGGGGACGTACTCTGTCCTCTGGCCCAGCCTAGATTCCCAGATCAGCTCCCACTCTTGCAAGCTTCGTGAACTTGGGCAATTAAGTGAACCCCCTCTGTCTAGACGTTCACAAGTGTCAAGCAAGAGACAGTGACAGACGCCGCCCGTTGCCACCGTGAGAATAAAACCAGGCAGTGCAGGCAGAGGCTGATGGCAGCGTGATGCCCACATGAGGCTAGTGTTCTGCCAATGGCAACTGTCCCGTACCTCTGTGTTCAACCATACCCACCTTCTATCAAACTGTCAGACAACTTCCACTCACAGACTCGTGCCCGAGGCACCACATCTGGAATTAAGTAGAATTTTATATGTGGCTCCTTCCACAGATCACCACCAGGCCCAACCTGGAGACTGGATTCTTGGTGCCCTTTCCTGTCTCCAAGAAACCGCAGCTTCATCACTTCTGGAGGCTGTCCCAACCTCTGCAATTACTCGCAAACAAGCAAGACATGCACTTACTTGCATTTTCTCTTACTGAAAAACCCTGAATTCCAAAGCATGCAATTGCTACAAAACATAATAGAGTAATTCCTTCCATCTACCTGAAAAGTATTAGGATGAAAATGTGAGCTTAGTAGCCAAGCAGACGCCCCACAGCCAACTGAGGCAGGGTAAGACCGGAGGCCAGGGTGACCTGGGATGGGGATTTGGACTAAAATCCTGACCAGAGAAGTGGGCTCTACCTAAAGGCACCGTGACGATGACATGGTGGGCTGGGAAACGGCCTCCATCCTCACATTCCACCAGCACCGGAAAGGTCTCCCCAGGAAACGCCGACTCCTGGAAGGAACCATTCCAGTGAATGGTCTTCACAGGCTTGTTAAAAATCATCACATCCTTCGGCAAGGAGGCCATCATGTGGTTTGTGAGTCCTTGGTAGCCCCTAGGAGAGACGGAAGTGTTGATGTTTAGAGGACCAGTCCCTGAAAGGGTAGGACTGGTGGATGTTTGCCCTCCAAGCTCCCCTGACATCAAAGTGACCACTGCAGTCCTCCTAGCATGCAGGGTTCCACTGCGGTTGTCCTTGTGTACTGCGGCACTGCTAATACTCACCTCCTGGGCTAATGGGAGGGCTAAGTGAGCGAATGCACCCAAAGCTCACAAGGTGACCAGACGAGAACAAGGACACCATTCTCACGCGCCCAGAGTTCTTGTTGTGTGCATTTCCAAAGTCACAAATGGCTGTTCCGGGGCAGGAGCTCTGGGCTGACAATACCTGGGAGAGTCCAGCAGGACAGCCCTGCAGAGGGTCTTGCCTGAGCCTGTTAGGGGCCAGCCGCCTGCGAGGGGCGGGGGCCTCCTTGGCCCCCTGTGCAGTTGAAGGCCCTCACATAACACTTGGCATATAAGTGGCCTCAGTAAATATGGGAGGAAGAAAGCATCGCAAGACACCTTCCTTCCTTAAATCACTCTCTCCTTTTTTTGGTGGCTGGCTGGTAAGGAGATCCAAACCCTTGACCTTGTTATAAATCACTCTCTCTTGAAAATAACTCCTTTTTTGCTTAAATGAGCAAAACTAGGGAAGTTAACCAATTTCTCTGAATGGGGGGGGGGCAAACAGCCTCCAGCCCCTCCCCCACCCCCTGTGCCTCTCAAAGGCAGAGGCAGAGGCAGGCAGGGCCCGGCCATCCCACTGGCCCTGGGGGACGTGTAGGGAGGCTTGGGCAGGTGGGGGCCACAAACATACCCAGAAAAGGTGCAGTCCAGCCCCGGCAGCACAGTGTACTCCCCAAAGGGCGCTAGGGCAACCAGGTCCATGCTGTGGGTGCCGCTCACGCAGCACTCCACGTTAAGGAAGGCGTTCAGGATGGCCAGTCTGAGCTGCTTGGAGTCCTCGTCCTCCGTCCAGCCGGCCGCGTGTCGCCTGACCTCCTTCCTGAGGAACTGCCCCACACTGGGCGCCGGGGTCTCCGCCGCGTGCAGGAACTCTCGGGTCTGGTCTATCAGACCGTAGAACAGACGGGCCATCTCTGCCACCAGCTCAAAGCTCACGCGGGCCCCGGAGCCTGTGTAGCTCACGGAGGGCAGGCCCACGTGGCCCCCGGTCTCGACCCGCTGGTTCTCCTCCGACAGCTCCTTGTCCCCCAGGAGCCCGTAGCTGGCGGCCAACTGGAAGACGGGGTTGCCCGGGGAGGGCCCGTGGATCCAGTGCGCGCCCAGCTCCACCACGCCACCTGGGGGTCAGGAGACGCCGCCTGGAGGTCCCCTCCCCAGAAAGGCCACCCGAGTCCGCCTGCGGGACCACGCCCGCCCCGCCCCACCAAGTACGCCCTGAAGCCCAGCTGCAGCGCCGCGCGGTGCCCAGGGCAGAGCCCACCGACCGGGCGGGGAGGCCGCGGGACGGCCTGCCCCGAGGGGAAGAAAGGGGCCTGGGAGGGACCCAGGGGTCGAGGGGCTCCCTTCCCTGGCAGGCGCCATCCTGACCGACACTGGGCCGCGGGGTTTCGGGGCGCGGTGAACTTTGGCCGGTGAAGTGGGGGCGGCGCGGGGCGCGGGGTTTACTCGGCAGCCGGACAAGGCTTCGGGGCAGGTTGACCCCGGGCCGAGCGCGGGCGCAGCCGGTTGGGCTCCCTGAGCGGGTTCGGAAGTGGGTCCCGCGAAGGGTCCGGGAGGGGCGGTTACCGAAGCTGCGCTCCGAGCGGATGCGGCCCCCGGCGCGGGCCG